AAACCAATTCCAAATTGGTTTTGGCAAATTGTTCTGCAGAGCCAACCTTTTGCCTCTCTTTCAACCGATCACTATTTTTCTTTTTCTTTTTTTGTTTACTTATTATTAGAGGACTGGACCCCACAAATCTCTCCCTTAATTTTGATTTTTTCTTTTCATTCCAAGACAAGATCTCAATCTCTGGAAATCTTCAAACTTGAGAGGCTTTGTGAAGATATCTGCAACTTGATCATGAGACTTCACATATTTGAGCTCGATTTCCTTCTTGGCAAGCATTCTCTGATGAAGTGATACCTTGTGTCTATATGCTTGCTTCGATCATGATACACTAGATTCTTTGCGAGTGCCTGTTCAGATTTGTTGTCAATATTTGCGGCATATTAGCTCCTTCAATAATCTTCTCAGCCAAATAGCATGACAGGTACAAGATGTTGCTGCTATATATTCAGCTTCACAAGTCGAGACAGTAACAATTGATTGTTTCTTTGAACTCCAAGAAATAACAGAATCACCCAAGAAAAATACAAAATCAGTTGTACTTTTTCTGTCATCAATATCTCCCGCATAATCACTATCACAAAATCCCATAAGGTTGAAATCATTAGAAGAAGAATAAAATAACCCAAAGTCAATCGTACCTTTTAGGTAACGAAGAATTCTTCTAGTGACTTTCAAATGAGTGGAGGTAGGAGCTTCCATGAAGCGGCTTACTACTCCAACTGCAAAGAGTATATCTGGTCTGGTACAAGTCAAGTACCTCAAACTTCCCACAAGACTTTTGAAAAATGTGGGATCCACTTTTTCTCCTTTATCAAACTTGGACAATTTTGTCCCACTCTCCATCGGTGTGTTCACGAGGTTGCAATCGAGCATGTTGAACTTCTTCAATATCTCTTTTATATAGCTTTCTTGAGAGATAAAAATTCCATCCTCCATCTGCTTCACTTCTAGGCCCAGGTAGTATGACATGAGCCCTACGTCTGTCATCTCAAACTCACGGGACATATCTTTCTTAAAAGCTTCAAACAAACTTGAGTTATTGCCCGTGAAAATAAGATCATCAACATAAAGACAAACAAGTAAGATATCTCCATTAGTATGAACTTTAACGTAAAGAGCATATTCATGAGACAATGATTAAACCCATTGTCTTGAAAATATTTGTCCATGCATCTATTCCATACTCGTGGGGCTTGCTTTAATCCATATAAAGCTTTCTTCAACCGCAACACTTTATCTTCATGGTTTTTGACCACGAAGCCCAATGGTTGTTCAACATAGACTTCTTCTTCAAGATAGCCATGCAAGAAGGCCGACTTGACATCTAGTTGATGGATCTTCCATTTCATTTGCGCCGCCAAAGAGATCAGCAAACGAATCGTCTCCATGCGGGCAACAGGTGCATAGACTTCTTCATAGTCAATGCCTTGCCTTTGCTTGTAGCCTTTAGCCACAAGTCGTGCCTTGTATTTCTCCACATCTCCATCAGTATTCTTCTTTATTTTGTATACCCATTTCACTCCAATTTCTCGGTGACCCTTGGGAAGAGTTGTTAACTCCCAAGTGTTATTCTTCTCTATTGACTCAATCTCCTCTTCCATGTCTTGACTCCACTTTTTGTTTGTAACAGCTTCATCAAAGTTCATTGGTTCACAGTCAGCAAAGAGACAACATAAAAAATCAAAATTTTAGTAACTTCTTATGTGTCCTCACAGAGCTCTTGAATACTCCTTGTCCTTTGCGGCTGTTCATTTGAACTTTCTTGAGAAGAGGGAGATGCAACATTGGTTGGAGAAGGAGGTGGAGTTGTATCCTGCACAGGTTCCACGGTCTCTGGTTCTTCTTCATCACCAAAGTATGGAAGAAAATCATATGAAGTTTCTTCCTGAGCTTCCCAATCCCATGCCAATTTTTCATCAAATTCAACATCGCGACTTACCACCACCTTACCGCTGCTTGGGTTGTATAACTTGTATCCTTTTGAACTCGTATCATAGCCAACAAACACATGCTTGACACTTCGATCGTCAAGCTTCGCTCTCCCTTGATGTGGCACATGAGCATAGGCTATGCTCCCAAAGATTCTCAAGTGCTTGACACTTGGCTTTCTTCCACTCCATGCTTCTTGAGGGGTTTGATCTCTAACATTCCTTGTTGGAGACCTGTTGTTCAAATAAACTGCACAAGAAACAGCTTCGGCCCAAAATTCCTTGGGCATACTTTTAGCTTTCAACATACATCGAGCCATATTAAGAATCATTCGATTCTTTCTCTCTGCAACTCCATTTTGTTAGGGTGAATAAGGTACCGTTAGAGGGCGACGAATTCCATGAGACTGACAAAAGTCGTTAAATTCGTTTGAAGTGAATTCGCCTCCTCTATCGGACCTTAGAGCTTTAATTTCATAGCCACTTTCTTTCTCCACAAGTACTTTGAAATTTTTAAAAGCAGCAAAAGCTTCAGATTTTTGGTTCAAGAAATAAACCCAAGTCTTTCTACTAAAGTCATCAATGAAAAGCAGAAAGTATCTACTTTTATCAAAAGAAGGTGGATTGATTGGTCCACACACATCAGTGTGAACAAGCTGGAGCAGCTTGGTTGATCTTGACATGGTCTCCTTTGGAAAGCTCCTCCTTGCATGTTTTCCAAGAAGACAAGCTTCACACAATTTATTTGGATGATTGATTGATGGTATCCCATGTACCATGTTCTTTTCTCCCATTGATTTGAGCGCTTCAAAATTTAAGTGCCCAAATCGCATGTTCCAACACCATGATTCATCTTGCACATTAGCCTTCAAACACTTTGCATCAATTGTTTTAAGATTCAGAGAAAATAATCTATTCTTTGCCATATGCACTTTAGCAATTAGAATTCCAATTGAATCTCTAAGCCAAAGATGCATATTTTTCATGTGGATGTCATATTCCTTTTCAAGAAGTTGGCCCAAACTCAAAATATTACTTTTTAATTTTGGCACATAATAAACATCTTGAATTAGCTTGTGACTACCATCTTTACAGGAGATCGGAATCGTACCTATCCCTTCGATTTGAATCTTTGAATTGATCTCTACAAACTTTTCTTTGCATCCACACATATGATTGCTTGCTCCATTGTCCAAATACCACGAGCTGCAATCATCCCTGTCTTCTTCCTTGAGTGCCAGAAATAACGTTGACTCATCTTCTTCTTTCTTGTCGTCAACAAGTTTAGCATTCTCTTCAACATTTCTACGACATTCCCAAGAGTAATGGCCAAATTTATGACAGTTATAACACTTAATTTTTGATTTGTCATACCTTTGTCCATTATTTTCTTGGTAGTAGCCACGTCCTCTTCCTCCTCTTTGTCCATGACCACGACCTCTGAGTGTTTGGTGGATTTTAGCTTCATTGTTGAAGTTGTTACCGTTACTTCTTCCTCGTCCATGACCGCCACGGCCTCGTCCTCGTCCATTCCCTCGATAGCTTTTTTCACCTTCATAATCCTTGAAGGATGCCTGAGTTTTAAGAAGTTGCTCCAATGGCTCTTCTTGTCTCCTCTTGATTTTTTCTTCATGGGCCTGTAAAGAACCCTCCAATTGCTCTACCATCATTGAGTCTAAATCTTTAGACTCTTCAATAGCACACACAACAAAATCGAATTTAGGTGTTAAAGTGTGAAGGATCTTTTCTACCACACGGACATCTTTTATGTCCTCCCCGTATCTTCTTAATTGATTCACAACAGCCTTCACTTTTGAACAATAATCCGAAATGCATTCGGATTCTTTCATTTTTAAAACTTCAAAATTAGCCCTTAGAGTTTAAAGTTTTACCTTCCTCACCTTGTCAGCTCCTTGAAGAGAATTTTGTAAAATCTCCCAAGCTTCCTTTGAGGTGGTAGCATCGGCCACCTTCTCAAACATGGCATCATCCAAACATTGGTGGATGAGCGTGAGAGCTTGTTGATCCTTCTTCCTTGTCTTTGCCAAGACATCTTTTTTATTTTGAGGCAGAGCTTCCTCATTATCGGGTTTTGCGTACCCTCTATCTATGATTTTTCACACATCCTGGGAGCCTAGAATGGCTTTCATACGTATACACCATTTCTCATAATTATCTTTTGTGAGACGGGGATACTGAAAAGACAACGGACTATTATTCGCCATGGCTCCGGTACCGCGTTGTTGGGATAAAAAATAATATCCCACCCAGGAATAATATCCACGATAAATAACAATAACACAAGAGAGTAACAATGACACCAAATATTTTAACGAGATAAAATACAATACCCCAGCGGAGCAATATTACCACTATAATATTACAACTTAGTATTGTCAAGAGACTACTACAACTTCGAAAGAAATAACAATCTTTATTTTAAACACCTCACTACAATATTACTTCCACTCACTATTTATCTCACAGACTGCAATATATGGATTACTCTATCTATGCTCTATTGCGCTCTCTCTGATTTTTGGTGTGCTTACAATGAGAAATGCAGCTTCTATTTATAGTAGTAAATGGCCACTCAAGGAACCAATATGTTTGGTTTGTTGCAAGTTGTAACATGGGCAACGCCCAAAACCAATTCCAAATTGGTTTTGCAAATTGTTCTGCAAGCTAACCTTTTGCCTCTCTTTCAACCAATCACTATTTTTCTTTTTCTTTTTTGTTTACTTATTATTTGAGGACTGGACCCCACAGTATCAACCTTTTCGGAATTCCAGAAAATCAAAATTCGCTAGAGAAAAAGAAAAGAAATATGAAGTGGCTAATTATACTAACCACCTAGACACTAGCTAGTTAGTTGAGTTAAAACATTGAAAATTCAACATGCCCTTAACTAATATTCTTGTCTCTTCTTTTCTTCTTATCATATATGTAATAACATCTAATCAATACCGAATATTTTTATTTTCCTTTACAAGAAAAACACGTCTTAAACAGTCAAAGGGAGATAAACAATTTGTATAAATACCCAAGCTTTTGCCTTCACCAATCACTGGTATCTCAAGCTAAAAAAAGCATTATTCCATTCTCTCTACTCCTAAATTTCTTTATTCACTTAGCCAAAAAAACAAACATGAAGATGAGAATAGAGAGTTCAAGAATTGTTAAACCTATTTATGAAGACATCTCTCCAACAAAAAGTCATATTCCCCTTAGTGTCTTTGATAAGGTTACATATGATGCGCATATTGCTATAATATATGCATATCGTCCTCCCACCCCACCAAATACTGCTATTGAGCTAGGTCTTCAAAAAGCCTTAGCTATTTATCCTGAATTAGCTGGGAGATTAGAGAAAGACGAACATGGAAATCCAGTGAATATTCTTCTCAACGATGAAGGTGTTAGATTCGTCGAGGCATCGGCCAATAACACCCTTGATCAAGTCATACCCTACAAACCTTCACCATCTTTGCTACACCTACACCCTAGCTTGAATGATGTAAAAGAATTGGTACAAGTCCAATTAACTAGGTTCACCTGTGGCTCTTTGGTGGTTGGCTTTACTTCCAATCATATGATAGTGGATGGCCAATCTACTAGCAACTTCTTGGTTGCATGGGGTCAAGCATGTCGAGGCCTCAGAGTCAATCCACTTCCTTTGCATGATCGTACAATTTTTACCCCTCAAAATCCTCCTCAGATCGAGAACGAGCATAAGGGAGTGGAATTCACGTCTAAGTTAGTGAAAAAGGAGCGTTTGCTGAATCAGGCTCATCATATATCGGAAGATATAGTTGTACACAAAGTTCATTTTACTATTGAGTTTCTTGCCAAGCTTAAAGTCAAGGCTTCTTCCTTGAATGGAAATAACAAGCCTTATAGCACATTTGAAAGTCTCGTCGCACATCTATGGAGGGCCATAACCAAAGCTCGTGGGCGAAGTGCCTTTGAAACCACACAAATCAGAATCGCAGTCAATGGTAGGGCGAGGTTGAATCCTAGAGTACCTAATGAGTACTCTGGAAACTTAGTCCTTTGGGCATTTCCAACTACAAAAGTAAAGTACCTTTTACGTGAGCCTCTACCACATGCAACAAAACTCATACATGATGCTATTACAAAGGTAAACAACAACTATTTCAGATCATTCATTGACTTTGCCAATACCAGAGTGAAGGAACAAGATCTCATTCCAACAGCAGATATGAATGATCATATACTTGGCCCTAATCTTGAAGTGGACAGTTGGTTAAGGTTTCCATTCTATGACTTAGATTTTGGAACTGGTTGTCCTTACATTTTCATGCCTTCTTATTTTCCAGTAGAAGGTGGGATGTTTTTTCTACCATCCTTCGTTGGAGATGGAAGTATTGATGTCTTCATTCCTCTATTTCAGGATAACTTGCCCACCTTCAAGAAAATCTGCTATTCCTTGGATTAGTTTGCAGATTAACAATTAACTTCAATAATGCACCCCCATGTATAACTTCTAAACGCAAATTAGTCTGTTCTTCCTAATTTCCCCTCTTTTTTTTTTTCTTATACTTTTAGATTCTTAATTTTCTTTATCTATAAATAGGGGGTATGCATCAACTACTTCAGTTTTGTTATGTACTCCTATTACTTTGATCTTATTGGATTTTGAAATAATAAATTTCAATCCGAATAACAAACGTTCTATTTAGTTTGTCTTCCCTCCTCATGGCCTTTTTACTGGGCTAAGGAAACGACAGTCTTTTATCTTCTTAGTATGTATTGTGTTTTAAGGTATACTGATCAAATCTTTGGGATATTTGTCATTATTCAGAATCTCGCTATGAAATATAAAAATGAAGATAAAGATTTTTAACGCTGTAATTAAAGTAAATATCAACAACCAGATTCGCAACTTAAAATATACTCCAATCTGTTAAATAAAAAAAGGTGGTTGCAACAAATAGTGCATGGATGATATAATCAAATTGTACGTTTGACTTAATTAAGAAATTAAACCTGCACCAAGAAAATTGGGTTTATCTCAGTTGTGGTTCAATAATATTTATTTTTCGTCAACCAAAACAGCCTCAACTTTGTAGCATAATTTGTTAAGTATTATTCTTATCTTAACCACCCTTTAAAAAGATCGACTTTAACAGCATATTAGTATAAGACAGAAGGTCATTATTTCAATTTGCATAACAAAGTCAACACACACGGATGCACCTAACGTCAAATTGTTTTTGCCAAATATATGTAAATTACAAAAGCACTGATCCATCAGCTTGATCAGAATATGTCACGGATTAGATAAAGAAACTTCAAGCTTTTTTCTCCTCAAGAAAAGTCATAACACACTCAAGTCACTTAGTAGTACGAAGTAGAAAAGTACTACTGGTTTTTACTTCTTCTTTTATCCGCCACCAATTAACCACTTTCACAAATAACTTCTTTTTTTTTCCACGAAAAGCGCTCCGGTTACAGAGTTTTTTCATTCCCAAGTCTCGAACTCGAAACCTCTATTGAGGATAGAGAAATCATATTCATGTCACCACAACCTTTGTGTTATACCTTTTTTATTTTAATTTTAATTTCAACAGATTAATTATGAAGGACTAGTTTCTTTTTGTAAGTTATTTGCTTTTGAATCAATACTCCATTTAAAAGGAATTATCAAAAGTATTTGTGTTTGACGAAAAGCCCACTTTAAATTGTTTTGATTTGCAAAAAATAGTTTGACTTGATAATTTTTGGAAGACAAACTCTTTTTACTTAACCAAGAGATAACGTTGATGCTTTTAGAAAACAAAATCCAAAACGTTTTAAAACCAAATTGGCATAAAAATAGTTGAACATTAATATTCGTAATGTGTTTAGCATGATGTATTAGCTAAGTTGCTCTCCACTTCACAATTCTCTTTCACCAACTCTTTTTTTTGGTAATTAAAAGATTTTATTTACCAAGTATAAATATTTACACACTATCAGAATCTAAGACTAGCTTTCTATCAAAACTCCTGCTGGGCATGAGCCCCAGCTGGGAGATTTCTAGCCTTACTACTGTTCCTCTCCTACTGCTTTTTCAAACTAAACTCTATCTGGGAATCAATTCAGAACACTCATGCATCAATCTAGCCTAGGAAACATCTTGGCTCTAATATGTATTTCTTGAATGATTAGTTTGAGAATAGCATTTGCAGTTCTCCTTTTCTTCTGGAAGATGATATTGTTTCTTTCTTGCTAAATGTGATAAATTGCTGCTGCTAGTACCATTCTGCATATTGATGTTCCTCCACTTTTTCCTTTTGCCATCCTTTTGATCCACTTCAGTTCTTCCTGCCAATCTTTTTTTGTTCTCTGTGGGACCCATTTAAATAAAAAAATAAAAAAATAAAAGAAAAAGAAGACAACAAGTTGAACAGATGGCTGAAACTTGCATTTGCAAATTGCAAAGACAAGTCCGATTTTGCAAAAGGTAAATCTGATTTTGCCAAAACCAAATCGATGCCAGCAATTCACTCTATAAATAACAACTTCGTTTCTTCATTTCAAGTACACCAAAATTGAGAAAGAAGTCAGAGAGAGTAATCCACAGATTGTAGTCTGGGAGATAATTATTGAGTGGGAGTAATATGGTAGTGAGGTATTTAAAATAAAGAGTGTTATTTCTTTTGAAGTTGTAGTAGTCTCTTGACACTACCAAGTTCTAGTATTTTAATGGTATTATATTGCCCTGCTCCGGTATTGTATTTTACCCTGTTAAAAGATTATGGTGTCGTTGTTACTCTCTTGTGTTATTGTTATTTATCGTGGATATTATTCCTGGGCGGGATATTATTTTTCCCAACAATGTGGTATCAGAGCCATGACGAATAATGGTCCACAGTCTTTTCAGTACCCCGTCTCACAAAAGATAATTATGAGAGATGGTGTCTACGTATGAAAGTCATTCTTGGCTCCCAGGATGTGTGAGAAATCGTAGAAAAAGGCTATGAAAAACCCGATAATGAGGAAGCTCTGCCTCAAAATAAAAAAGATGCCTTGGCAAAGATAAGGAAGAAGGATCAACAAGCCCTCACGCTCATCCACCAATATTTGGATGATGCCATGTTTGAGAAGGTGGCAGATGCTACCACCTCAAAGGAAGCTTAGGAGATTTTACAAAATTCTTTCCAAGGAGTTGACAAGGTGAGGAAGGTAAAAATTCAAGTTTAAGGGCTGATTTTGAAGTTTTAAAAATGATAGAATCCGAAAGCATTTCGGATTATTGTTCAAAACTGAAGGCTGTTGTAAATCAACTAAAAAGATACGGGGAGGACATAGAAGATGTCCGTGTGATAGAAAAGATCCTACGTACTTTAACACCTAAATTTGATTTTGTGGTATGTGTATTGAGGAGTCTAAAGATTTAGACTCTATGGCGGTGGAGCAATTGGAGGGTTCTTTACAGGCATATGAAGAAAAGATCAAGAGGAGACAAGAAGTGCCACTAGAGCAGCTTCTTAAAACTTATGCATCCTTTAAGGATTATGGAGGTGAAAAAAGCTATCTAGGGAACGGACGAGGACGAGGCCGTGGCGGTCATGGAAGAGGAAGAAGTAACGGTAACAACTTCAACAATGAAGTTAAAATCCACCAAACATTCAGAGGTCGTGGTCATGGACAAAGAGGAGGAAGAGGACGTGGCTACTACCAAGAAAATAATACACAAAGGTATACCAAATCAAAAATTGAATGTTATAATTGTCATAAATTTGTCCATTACTCTTGGGAATGTCGTAGCAATGTTGAAGAAAAAGCTAACCTTGTTGACGACAAGAAAGAAGAAGATGAGTCAACGTTATTGCTGGCACTCAATCAAGAAGACAGGGATGATTGTAGCTCATGGTATTTGGACAATGGAGCAAGAAATCATATGTGTTGATCCAAAGAGAAGTTTGTGGAGATCAATAAAACGGTGAGAGGTAATGTACCTTTGGAGATACCTCAAAGATTCAAATCGAAGGGATATGTACGATTTTGATCTCTTGTAAAGATGGTAATCACAAGCTAATTCAAGATGTTTATTATGTGCCAAAATTAAAAAGTAATATATTTGAGTTTGGGCCTACTTCTTGAAAAGGAATATGACATCCACATGAAAAATATGCATCTTTGGCTTAGAGATTCAAGTGGAATTCTAATTGCTAAAGTGCATATGGCAAAGAATAGATTATTTTTTCTGAACCTTAAACAATTGATGCAAAGTGTTTGAAGGCTAATGTGCAAGATGAATCATGGTGTTGGCACATGCGATTTGGGCACTTGAATTTTGAAGCACTTAAATCAATGGGAGAAAAGAACATGGTGCTTGGAATACCATCAATCAACCATCCCAATCAATTGTGTGAAGCTTGTCTTCTTGGAAAACATGGAAGGAGGAGTTTTCCAAAGGAGGCCATGTCAAGATCAACCAAGCCGCTCCAGCTTGTTCACACTGATGTGTGCGGACCATCCAATCCACCTTCTTTTGGTAAAAGTAAATACTTTCTGCTTTCCATTGATGACTTTTGCAGAAAGACTTGGTTTTATTTCTTGAACAAAAAATCTGAAGCTTTTGCTGCTTTTAAAAATTTCAAAGTACTTGTGGAGAAAGAAAGTGGCTATGAAATTAAAGCTTTAAGGTCCGATAGAGGAGGCGAATTCATTTCAAACGAATTTAATGACTTCTGTCAATCATATGGAATTCGTCTCCCTCTAACGGTACCTTATTCACCCCAACAAAATGGTGTTGCAGAGAGGAAGAATCGAACGATTCTTAATATGGCTAGATGTATGCTGAAAGCTAAAAGTATGCCTAAGGACTTTTGGGCCGAAGCTGTTTCTTGTGCGGTTTATTTGAACAACAGGTCTCCAACAAGAAATGTTAGAGATCAAACCCCTCAAGAAGCATGGAGTGGAAGAAAACCAAGTGTCAAGCACTTGAGAATCTTTGGGAGCATAGCCTGTGCTCATGTGCCACATCAAAGGAGAGTGTAGCTTGATGATCGAAGTGCCAAGCATGTGTTTGTTGGCTATGATACGAGTTCAAAAGGCTACAAGTTATACAACCCAAGCAGCGGCAAGGTGGTGGTAAGTCGCGATGCTGAATTTGATGAAGAATTGGCATGGAACTGGAATCTCAGGAAGAAATGTCATATGATTTTCTTCCATACTTTGGCGATGAAGAAGAACCAGAGGCCTTGGAACCTATGCAGGATACAACTAGACCTCCTTCTCCAACCAATGTTGCATCTCCTTCTTCTCAACAAAGTTCAAATGACCAACCGCAAAGGAAGAGAAGTATTCAAGAGCTCTACGATGACACAAAAGAAGTTACCAATTTTGATTTTTTATGTTGTCTCTTTGCTGACGGTGAACCAACAAACTTTGATGAAGCTATTACAGACAAAAGGTGGAGACAAGCCATGAAGGAGGAGATTGATTCAATAGAGAAGAACAACACCTGGGAGTTAACAACTCTTCCCAAGGGCCATCGAGCAATTGGAGTGAAATGGGTATACAAGACAAAGAAGAATGTTAATGGAGATGTGGAGAGATATAAGGCACGACTTGTGGCTAAAGGCTACAAGCAAAGGCAAGGCATTGACTATGAAGAAGTCTATGCACCTGTTGCCCGTATGGAAATGATTCATTTGCTGATCTCTTTGGCGG